AGTAGACACACAGCAATGAACACTGGAGAGAAAGAAAAAAAGTTACTTGATCAGGCATCAGTCTGGCAATCTGTGGGCTCACTTCTGTTCATCTGCTCTAGACAGACAGACAGACAGACAGACAGATAGATAGATAGATCTAAATTTCATTTTCCAAAGTACTTGTCAAAAAGTAAAAAAAACAACAAAAAAACAAGCTACAGCACAGAATCACATATGAAAAGGTCTGACAAAGAAGCAGGAGAAGAGAGTAGACACACAGCAATGAACACTGGAGAGAAAGAAAAAAAGTTACTTGATCAGGCATCAGTCTGGCAATCTGTGGGCTCACTTCTGTTCATCTGCTCTGAGGTACAGCATCCCCTAATGCAGCCACCCCCTTTACACACACAGTCCAGCCCTCCACACACACACACACACACACACACACACACACACACACACACACACACACACACACACACACTCACACACACCTGAAATTCTAATCTGCCTCATTAGGATATAACAACATTCATGTGCTGTTAAGGAGAATTTCAACAGAAAGAAACCAATTATGAGGCAGCGCTGAAAGGGCCGAGAGAGTGAAACAGGGAGCTAATTTACATCTATAAATACTTCATGATGCTCACCGGCCTCCTCCTAACACCAAAAACACCACACACAAACACTAAAAAATGAAGAATATGAACACACTCTCCTACACACTCTGACAGACTCGTAATTATGAAGTGAAACTGAGAAAATGTGTGATAAGTCAGTAAAGTTTCGTGATAAGTTGGGAAAGTTTTAGGCACAAGATACATGAATTGTTTGCCTCTTTCTTGTTTCATAAACTTAAATCAGCTTGTAAAAGCCGAGGACTCTTCCGGTGTTTACTGGTTTCTTGTGATTGCAGCCATCTGCTTGAGTTACTCACTTTTTTCACTGTTCAACTTGAACCACTTGAGTGTGTGTCAGAGTGTGTGAAAGTTACAAGAAAGAGTTAGTTGATTAATTTTTGCATGTGTATTATGCACTTACACAACAGTACCATGGTGTTTGGCATGCTACTGTTTTGTAACATGATAACAATAGGCTAGTTAACATGTTTATCTGGCATGTGAACTATACCATGGTAATGATAAAATACCCTGGTATATGTTTACATGTATATTTATAATCAAGCTAGTGGGGTTTTCTTTCTTTTTCTGATTTGTCTGTCCATTTTAGTATTTAGTTTTAAGCTACGTTTTATTTCAGCTTTATTTAAAGTGGTTTTAGTAGTTTAAATATATAGTTCAGTCATGAAACTCTAGATGGCGCATTCTGACAGGGTGTTAACGTAACTGATGATATTCAGAGAGTTAAACGACTTGGCACAAGCTGATTGGTTCATGCTGCATATGCAGCCAATGAGCTTACTGCCTTGCATTTATATGGCTGGCTAGCATTCACTTGAGATTCCTGCAGCGCGCTTTCAGAGTTCTCCGAAACCCTCCACCTTCCCCAGCTCCACCTGTATAGATCTGCTACGGGAGCAGATCTGTTCCGCCAAGACCAAATACATTAACATTGTCATATCCATCACCATGCTAAAATGTTCTGAGAGTTGTCATGATTGAAATATGCTTATTTGAATGTTTGTAGAATTAGCATAACACTGAGGCCAATTGTAAACCCATTAACGAGGCAATAGTGGCACTATATTAGGCAATTAGCCATTTTTCTTTTAGTCCACCGGAATCTGAACTTTTAAAGGGGTCATATGATGCGATTTAAATTTTTCCTTATTCTTTGGAGTGTTACAAGCTCTTGGTGCATAAAGAAGATCTGTAAAGTTG